GCATCGCTGTGCAGCTTTCCAGATTTGTAAACAACCGAGAACGTGTACTCCTGTAATCGAAGTGCCCATCGGCCGAGTCTTCCTGTAGGGTCCTTAAGCGTCGACAGCCAGCAAAGCGCATGATGGTCCGTGATGACTGCGAACGGACGTCCGTATAAGTACGGACGGAATTTCGCAATAGCCCAAACGAGGGCTAAGCATTCCCGCTCAGTGATGGAATAATTTTGTTCCGCTTGCGACAAAAGACGGCTAGCGTAGGCTATCACACGGTTGGTGCCATTCTGTATCTGAGCGAGTATAGCACCAATGCCATGGCCGCTTGCATCGGTGCGAAGCTCTGTTCGAGCCGCTGGATCAAAATGAGCCAACACAGGTGGTGATGTGAGGGCGGTAATTAGCGACGCGAAGGAATGTTCTTGGTCTCTTCCCCAAGAAAATGCCACATTCTTTTTGAGGAGATCCGTGAGGGGCCTAGCAATATCCGCGAAATTGAAGACAAAGCGGCGGAAGTATGAGCAGAGCCCAATAAAACTGCGAACTTCTTGTGTGGAACGCGGAACCGGGAATTCTCGGACTGCACGGACTTTGTCAGGGTCGGGTTGAACACCAGTGGCGTCAACAAGGTGACCGAGTAGTTTAATCTGCCGACGTCCAAATGAGCATTTCGACGAATTGAGTTGGAGACCAGCGCAACGAAAAACGTCAAGAATTGCCGAGAGACGAGACAGGTGGCTTTCGAAGGAGGGCGAGAAAACTATTACATCATCCAGATAGCAGAGGCAGGTCGACCATTTGAAACCGCGAAGAAGAGAGTCCATCATACGTTCAAAAGTAGCCGGGGCATTGCACAAACCAAAAGGCATGACCTTGAATTGGTAAAGGCCGTCGGGTGTGATGAATGCCGTCTTCTCGCGGTCGCGGTCGTCGACCGAAATTTGCCAGTATCCGGATCGAAGGTCAAGGGACGAGAAATAGTTGGCGCCGTAGAGGCAGTCGAGCGCATCATCGATTCGAGGTAAAGGATAAACGTCCTTCTTGGTGATCCGATTCAGGTGGCGATAGTCGACGCAAAAACGCCAGGTGTTGTCCTTCTTTTTAACTAAGACCACAGGGGAGGCCCAAGGACTCGATGACGGCTCAATGACGTCTTTACTGAGCATTTTCTCGACCTCCGTCTGTATTACTTGGCGCTCAGCATCGTGACACGCGATAAGGGCGTTTGTGAAGTGGACTGGCGTCGCCGGTGTCGATGCGGTGGGTTACGGCAGTTGTGCGGCCCAGGGGACGGTCGTCAACGTCAAAGATATCCAGGTAAGAAAATAGAACACCCCGGAGCGCCGCAACTTGGGAAGGTAAGAGGTCACTGGATATCATTTTGTCGAGGAACGCCTTATTTTGCGACGTGATGACAGGTTTCGTCATGGTCTTAGTGTCAGGTGTAAAAGAACAAATCGAACATTCATCAAGGGTGGAAAGATCGGCTAAAGTGATGCCTTGGGGAAGCACTTGGGTCGACGTAGAGAAGTTCAGAACTGGAAGTAGCACCGTGTTGTTAGCAACAACCACTATAGTATGTGGTAGTGCGATGTGGTGCGTAAGAGTCAAATCAATGAGGGGAGCTACCAGATAGTCTCCATCAGGAACGGACGGGAAGGGCGACAGAGGAATGTACATAGCAGCCTGGGGCGGTAGCCGTAGAGACTCCACGGATCGTAGCCGAGTGCGACTTGGAGGAGTGAAATCGGAGCACAAAGGCAATTCGAGCCGTAAGATACCGGTAGAACAATCGATGAGGGCGGAGTGGGCGGTTAAGAAGTCAATTCCAAGGATGACGTCGTGTGGGCAAGCATCGAGGACTGCGAAGAGAACGGAAGTGTGGTGGCCAGCAACAGTAACGCGGGCAGTGCACATACCAAGCACCGATGTTCGACTTCCGTTGGCAACTCGAACAGTAGAGAACATAGCTGGTGTGAGAACCTTTTTCAGGCGAGATCGAAGTGTAGAACTCATAACAGATACTTGGGCACCAGTGTCAATTAGAGCAGTAACGGCGTGGCCATCAACGAACACCCGAAGTAAATTGCGTCTTGAATTTGTAGCCGGTTGAGGGTTTTCGTTCCGAGTCGTCAACGCAGCGCCACCTCCAGGAGCTGCACTCGTCAGTTTCCCGGGGAATGGGCAGAATAAGCCGGTGACGGAGAGCGGCGGCGTTGAGGGGAGCGTGACGGCCGACCCTGAGGTGACGGCGAGCGGCTGGACCAGTTTCTCTGGGCGACGACGTCAGCGTAGGACGGTTCGGAGCGTGGAAATGAACGGCGAGCTGAAGGGTCCAGAATATGGTCATCCGGAAAACCGGGTTGCGAATAGTGTCCGCGGTCCTGACGGCGATCTACATTACGAAAGCTTGGCCGGAAATACGACCTGTTGCGGCAATGGCGGGAGATGTGCCCAACTCGAGAGCAAGAAAAGCAGATTGGTCGATCATCATGCGTGCGCCACTCAGATGGATTTCGGTAGCGTGGTGGAAACCGAGGAGTCGAAGCTGCCGCAGCGACAAGTGGAGGAGAGTGGTGGTCAGCGTTGTGGACGGGAGTGCTCATGGGCTGCGGCATAGGTCTGGCGGGCTGGGGAACCTGGACGCCCAGGTTAGCAAACTCCTGACGTACGACGGCTTGAATGAGCGAGACTGTTGCCCAGTTGTCTTGCGCAGGGGGCTGATAGGAAGCGGGTGCCATGGCTTCCAGCTCCTGGCGAACAATCCTTGCGATATTGGCAGGAGGGGCAAGTGAACGGGGCGCTGCAGAATCCTCGCAAGACGAAGTCGCAGCAGTGTTTGGTAGTCTCGCGATTTGGTGGGTGATTCGCCTGCTTTTAGCTTGCTCAAATCGCCGGCATTCAGATATGATGGAGTCGACAGTGGTGCAGTTCTTGCACATTAGTATGTTGAAAGCATCATCAGCAATGCCTTTCAACACGTTGGTGATCTTGTCCGCCTCGGACATGTTTTTGTCCGTCTTCCGGCACAGTGCCAGTACGTCTTGGATGTACGTGACGTACGACTCCGTCGATGATTGAACACGCGACGCGAGTTCCTGCCTGGCTGCCATGTGACGAGCAACTGACCGACCGAACAAATCGCAAAGCTTTTGCTTGCATGTGTCCCAGCTGGTTAATTCTTCTTCATGCGTCTCATAACAGGCGCGTGCCGTACCACGTAGGTAGAATAGAATATTTGCCAGCATAAGCGTTTCGTCCCACCTGTAGTGCTTGCTGACGCGCTCGAATAATGCGAGCCATTCTTCGACGTCCGTGCTGTCCGTCCCGGAAAACGTGCCAGGGTCGAGAAGATGGGGGGGGAATCAGAGGTGATGAAGCCGGCGCGGATGGCGAGGCCTGAGTGCCAGTTTCAGGCATCGCGGCTGGACAAAGCTGGCGTCCACTGCGGAGTTCTAGAGCCGGGTTGTGTGAAGACCCAGCACCTTCCACCAAAAGATGTTGCGGGAAAGATTTATTCACCGAGAGCTGGTCTTGCTAACGGTTTGAGAGCGCACAGTCAAGCAGGCCAACGGGAGAAGCTTCAGAGTCCAACCCACTACAACCACGTTGTCGTCTTCTTCATTTGGGTGCCAATTCAGCTGTGTCGGTGCGACAGTTCCATACACGTATCAATATGGTAGTTTTGGGACGTAAAACCCCACATATCAATCAATCAATCATCAGCCATGCAATCATGCCATACCATAGCAATTTTTCAACATGCCATGCGAACGAAACTACCACAAGAGCTGCAGGATTATGAATTGCAAATCATGACATTCGTGACGTATATGTAAACATTTTCATGTTATGACTATTTCAATATGTTCTTCATACAGGCATGTTATGCCTTACCAAGTTTGGTATCGACTCAAATAACGAAACGGCCAGGAGAGGTAAAAGTGGTAGGCGGCTACATCGACAGATAGATACGCCCGAAGTCACAGAGACTCGCTAAGAAATGCTTCGCATTTATTAAATAGATGATAAATAGATAGATAGATAAATAGATAGATACATAAATAAATGATAGATACATGGATCAGAAACAGTGTGAAGAAAAAGTTAAGATGTACTTACTTCCTTGTAAGGAGCATTAATCGTATTATTATAAATATTTCTTTTGTGTCGTTTGTGCTTTTGCATATTAGATGAAAATTGCTCAATTTCTTTCTTTTCAAATGTATTTCTCTATGGTACTTAGTATTTCGTCCAGAAATTTTCTCTTGTTGCATTTTAATATATATATTATTTATATTGGTACTGCAAATTGGTGATGACTGTAATGTGTTATTTTAAAACGTATGTGTCGACATCTGTTAAACTTGTTGAATTTGAATTTCGTGTCCCCTCACTCAAAAGCAGAATGAAATTTGTATCCTTTGTTCCACTTCCCCTGAGCAAATGTATGGGTGGAGGGACCTTAGTCAGACAGAGGCATTCTGCCTTTAGTCCCTTCAACCTAGGCAATCATTGTTTTTGTCTGAATAAACAGTGAATGAATGAATGAATGAATCAATGAATGAATGAATAGATAGATAGATAGATAGATAGATAGATAGATAGATAGATAGATAGATAGATAGATAGATAGATAGATAGATAGATAGATACGCTCAAAGTTGCGGAAGTTCTCTAAGAAATGCTTCGCATTTAAAACTGCTACACTCCATCTAGTGACCATGTTTCACGAGCATCTTATAAAATTGGGTGAGATCAGATGCAAAAGATTAGCTGTTACGCTTTTTCATGCGGCATTTATTTAGTCGTTAATGTATGAGTTGAGGCTTCGTCGGGACGAAACTCGCACGTTTACTATCAGTATTTTTCGGCCTCATAAATACTATTTATTCAAGGACAAGTAGAAAGGCAAGATACTTTATTAAGATCGTGTGGGGCCAGCCAGTATCCGGGCTGTTTGTTGGCTAATATCATGTTGGAGGCTGAGATGCTCTTTTTTTCAGATTAATAGATTCCCACGTGGCAAAGTATTTGGTGGCTCGAGTTCAATCAACCATATCATCTATGCTCGAGGGAACCGCAGGGATTTCGATAATTGGGCGTCTTTGTATGGCGCCGAGGGCTGGTCTTACAAAGACGTGCTTCCAGACTTCATTCAGATTGAAACATCGTACCTAGGGATCGACAATGGTAAGTGACTGATACCAGAAGTAATGTGCAGGTGGGTAGTACCTATATTTGCTCTATGAGTGCATCAGCTAAAATATTTTTGGCACCCTTAGCATCAGAAGCATGACGGTGGCGAGAAGTTTACACTCCGTTTGGATGATTTAATACTTTGTAATACGCAAACGTGAAAAAGAAAGTTACACTGCAACAACAACAATTATAGATAGCACTGATTCTCAACACATAGCATACAAGCTGCTTACAACAAATGTGCGAAAATGCATTACCATTTAGTATATCATTGTATTGAGATGCACAAACAACATAAAAACTCATAGGCTTAAGACGACTGAAATGGTATAGTAATCCGCTTCTTTTTGTTCAAATCTCTGGGGTGATGGTCGACGGCACATGTACAGAGCTTCTTGCGCCAAGAATGGTTTTCTATTGATTCCAGTAGCAGAGACGAAAATCGGAGGCACTGCAAGTTTCCCATAAATGTACGGGTTTCGCCCGTCCTTCATGAATGCCCCCTCATTGATGAAGCGACTGTCATGTGATGACCTCTTCATGTGAAGTTACGTTAGGTGACGTCCACTTTATGTCAAATAATGATATCATCACATGATGATAACTTGCCACCAATAGTATTGGTCTGTGACGCCTAGAGTGAATTGTTTATTGACCTGTTGGGCTGAAGATCACTGTGTAGCTCCTCCCATATTGTTTCCCAAGGTCACGAGGAAGTATTAGCCCCGAGAAGTTGGAGCGGTGCCCGCAAAAGGGAGGCTATGGTGGCGTTACGGCTTGAACTCTTCGATACTGCCCCCCCCTCCCGCGCACCTACAGAATTATGCGTTCTCTTCGTGTCCTCTTTCAGTGTTTGCGTTCGCTTTCTGCTCATCCGAACTTGCACCTAAAGGATCCCCAGGTTAGGCTATGCCCTCTTGAACATGATATACTTATTGCCGATGTTCTTTTCCCAACCTTATACCTGAATATGTTCTAATAAAACTAATGATTGATAATTTCTATAAACATCCCTAGCTCCTGCAAAATAGCGCTGTGGAAACAATTTCGTAATTTATGCCTATCAATATCATCATCATCATAATCATCATCATCATTATCATCATCATTATCACCTTCATTATCATCATCATCATCGTCATCACCAGCCTTAATAAGCACACTGCAGGGCAAACGCGTCTCCCGTGATCAGGGTTCCCAATGGTGGCTACTAACTTTTTGCCAAATTGACGGATTTCAGAGGCCCGTCACGACATAAAATTGCGTGTGGTGACACGGCGAAATGCATGCAAATTCTGGCTCACGTCTCGACTTAACTATGCACTTTATACTCACTCTCTTCAAAACAAGCAGGTGGCAATGTTTTCTGTATTTTTTGTAGCTTTAGACCCACCAGTAGAAGACGCAATTTACGTAGAATCAAAGCATCAGTACACCGAGAGATTCTGGAGGAAGAAGTGCACTGATGCGACCGCCAGCTACCTCCCTGCAAACTTTAGGTCAGTGGACTGCTTCATGCGCCACGATTGATTGATTGATTGATTTTTTTGATATGTGAGGTTTAACGTCCCAAAATCACGATATGCAAATGAGAGACGTGGTGTGGAGGATTCTGGAAATTTCGACCTCCAGGAATTTTTTTAACCTGCACCTAAGTCTAAGGAGACGGGCCTACAGTATTTTCACCTACTATCGAAAATGCAACTGCTGCAGCCGGAATTCCATTTTGCGATCTGCGGGTCAGCAGCCAAGCACGTTAGCTACTACAACACCGCGGGGTAGCTTGATGCGCTGCCAGGCGGTGTCAATATACTGAGTGCTTTAGGTGCTTTAGAGCCTGAATTTATTGTCTCGCTTCTGAAATGGGTCAATCACGGTTAGGCTTCGTGCATTAACCACAGCTCCAACTGTCCAGAATAGATTGTTGGTTTCTTCACCTAGGGTTTATATTTTATATTATTATTCATAATTGACAGGCATAAACGTTGGCGTTTTGAAGCAGCCTTCTGAATTTGCGCTAAGGCAGTTTCTGTAATAATATATGATGTGTAAACATCGCTTCACAGAAAGCGTGGAGCAGCCATTGCGGCAGTAATGCAGTACATGTGGAATCATTAACGTTGCTTTTTAATTAGGTTGTTCAATAATTGGACTCGTGATTCCACCACAATGATGTTCTCTAAAACTGCAGAAAGACTAAGCACACTGTTTTCTATTGTTGTAGTGACTGCTTCGCCCTGTATTCGCTACAGCCGAAAAAATAGGGAGCTCCAGAATAGCGCAACGTGAACCCTTGTAGTGCAGTCACTGCCACTGCGCATGCGTCGTAACGCGAGTCTTCGCTCGCGTTCGCGGACCGCACGCAGAAAATCCTAAATTGCGTGCGGTGATGGTGGTCCGCATGTGGCCCGCAAGCGCTGGTTTCGAGGCTTCGAGCGGTGATGGCGGCCCGCTTGTGGCCCGCAAGCGCTGGTTTCGAGGTTACGGTGTCGCTGCGATCGTGCGTTGCGGTTTACAGCAGGGCAAACGCTATTCTAAAACTCATATGGCGGCTGCTACGCCCACAACGCCCACAGCGCTTGCAAACGGTATTTTAAACTCTCCCTTAATACAAACTTCTGTTATCGAATCGCTAGCATTCAGGTACGCTGCTGGTGTATAGGCATGTCCTTTGTCAGCGCTGCCATGGTGAACCGGGAATGCGACTCCAAGCCCACTAACCAATCCCTTCGATGGTGTAGTACGGGATGCGACAGGCACTAGAAAAATGTATATATAATTTAGGGGCTATAGATGGTACGAGCTCACGGAGTTACATGTAGTTAGCTATTTGCATTAGGAAACACGCCATACATAAGTAGAGTGACAAATTTTTTTTGACGAGATTTGAAGAAGACTGGTGACATTTAGCAACTTTTCACTGATTGTTTGGTGAATTTTACTCGAACGTCAGTGGCAATCTGACCATGATCCGATAGTCCACCCGGTCTCTTGGTTTCTGCTGACACGTTATACTTGCGAACCTTTTAATCTCACGTGCTCTCCTTACTTTCTGTTTCACCCTCGAGCGTTTGTTTTCTCTGATATCCAGTTCGTTACGTTTACTGACCAGCAGGTATTCTGCCTACGTGCCACGTGCCCAGCCCATGTCCACTGTGTCTTCTTGATTTCTACTGGAATATGCTTGAGCCCGGTTTGTTAACTGACCCACTCTGATGCCTTCTCGTATCATTTTTTTATTCCATTGCTCGCTGCGTCGTGCTTAGTTTAGGCTTAACCTACTTTGTAAGCCTCTAGATTTGTGCTTTGTAGGCAAGTACTGCCAACATGTAGCTTTATATGCCTTCCTCATAAAGGTTAGTGCTAGATAACCATTTATGCTTCGGAATTACTTGCCCAATGTGATCGACCCCGCGTGCATTCTTTATATTTCACGCTCACAGTTCAGCTCCACGGTTACTAATTATCATAGGTGGAAGTATACCTTTGCAACTTCTACGGTCTCTCCCCCTATCACAAAGCACTGTTTTTTCCTGGTACTCTAGCGCATTGCTTTAGTTATATTGTCACGGAGTTGTGACGTGGCTGAAGGCAGGAGACTAGATGGTCAAACAAAACTGTTTATTTGGGTGAAACTGTGTCCGATAAACGAAAAGTCGGCTTTCTGTAGCCCACTTGCACTGATAGTGGCGAATTCAGCGTCGGCCGTCGATCAACTGACAAGCGGCGAAGCGTGTCGGCAGTTATACGCAAGCCATCGAACATTCTAGCGTTATCGCTAGTGATGGCATAGATTTCAGAATAATCTGAAATGCTCACGACGCGGGCGGAATCTCAACAAAATAATCTACGGCAGCCCTCACGCTTCTCGGACACTGTAGGTGCGGTTTGCACTGGGAATCGCGTACAGGGTAACGGAGTGATAAGAAAGCTCGAGGAAAGAACGTGGCATTGCCCCATCTGAAAAAGGCATCGTCCGATGCTTTAACAGAAGATGAAAGTGCAATATTATTGTGAGAAATTATAAAGAATAAAGTACGATACAGCAACACCAACAACAAAATACACTCCTTCAGTTTGTTAACGTTCATGAAACGGCTCTAGGCACGTGACATGGACGACTTCAGGTCGAGATCGGCGCCGTTGAGAGTTCGTTATGCCGTCGGGACAACCTGGTAGTCGAGTGGGCCGAGACGTCGTACTATCCTGTATGGTCCGAAGTACTGTTGCAGAAGTGTTTCACTGAGTCCACGTCGGTGTATCGGTGTCCATACCCAAACACTTTTACCGGGCTGGTATTCTGTGAAGCGTCGCCGAAGATTGTATTGGTGGCGGTCGGCCGTCTGCTGATTCGTTATGCGTAGACGCACTAGTTGACAAGCGTCTTGAGCGTGCGGGAGATAGTGGGTGACGTCAAGGAATTTTTGTCAGCGAAGTTAGGCAGCATTGCGTTGATCGTCGTTGCCGGGTTCTTTCAGTAGACCAACTTGTACGGTTGGATCTGCGTCATCTCTTGCAGGGCAGTGTTGTATGCGAAGGTCACGTACAGAATGACGGTGCCCCACGTTTTGTGTTTCACGCCGACGTACATGGCCAGCATGTCGGCGATTGTCTTGTTTGGCCACTCAGTGAGAACATTTGTCTGTCGGTGGTGGGCGGTGGTTGCTTGTCTGGCTATGTCTCAAGATGGCTTGAGTCAAATCAGCAGCAAAGACTGTACCTCTAATGGTTATGACTACCTCCGGGATACCATGACGAAGGACGTTGTTCTCAACAAAGATCTTGACTACGTCTTTAGCGCTACCTCGGGATAGGGCTTTTGTTCCTGCGTAGTGGGTGAGGTAGTCAGTAGACACGGCGATCCATTTGTTTCCTGAATTTGACGTTGGAAACGGCCCCAGTAGGTCCATTATATCTGTTGGAACTGTCAGCGAGGTGTTTAGATCGACAGAAGAAAGCCTCCTGGCCTTGTTGGTGGTGTCTTGCGTCGC